GGTCACCCATATTGGTAGCTTCCCAGGCAAGGTAACAATAAGATCTCATGCTATTATCCAAGTTTTAAATTAAGAGAAAGACACACACAGCCCTTGTGGTGACTTGAGCATGTACCTTACTCAGTCCATGGAAGCGAGATTTTTTTGTTGGGGTTATTTTTTTTTTTTCCCTCGGTTTAACCATTACTGAACACCCAAAATAGAAGCCTTCATTTGTAGGAACAGGAAGACCTCCAGTCTTGTGCAGGAGCTGAAGCAAGCACCTTTAACAGATGATTCCTAGAGCTCAGACAAAAGAATTATCTTTGCTGGAAAAGTCACCAAAAGAAAACATAAATGGTTTTGCTTTCATTGGAAATGTGGAAGTAGTCCCCACAATAGGAAGCTCTGCTTCAAGACTACAGAGCACAGTGACAAAGACATTTGGACAACCACCTGTGTTGCTAAAATCCACTTTAAAATTCCTCATACGATTAATTGCACTGTATTCATCCCTCTATAGAAAAGGTGAAAGGTGAAAGTTAGTGGGAGTGCAAAGTGCACAGACTGCATATGAAGGAAATTTTCTGCTGCAGGATGGTAAGTCATGGTATCAAGCATTCATGCATCCAGAATTCCACATCTCTTTGGCGAGTAATGGCAATGTGAGGCACCCTGCTTTCTGCATGCAGAGTCTAGCCAAAGAGTTGTTTAAATACATATCAAAATAACTATTTTTCTAGGATCCACTTCAGCCTTTATTTCTAATTGCTTGGAACCAGCAAAGCCTCCATATTGCAAGCTCTCACTGCCTGGACATGACTGCAGTGACTGTCAGCAGCAGCTACACAGAAGCACTGCTGCCACATTTATCCAGCCCATTTCTTCCACTTCTCCCATTCATGCCCATTCCTTGACATTCACACTATCTGCACCAGAAAGAAAATCTGCTTTCAAGGCTGATATATGCTGTCTGCTTTCCTCTTCCCCCAGCAATGCACCTGTATTTATGACAGAGTAAATGTTAGTAATCCTAAAAATGTGACAATCTCATTGAGGGAACAAGAGGCCACCTTTAAGTCCCTGGTTTGGCTGGTGTTTTGTCACTACGTGTTCTCAGCTGTAGAGCAAAATCTCCTTAGGATAGCCAGGTTGTCTATGGTTTCTAGGAAGTGCTGGACACACATGAAGAGGTCTGTATCAGGGCTAAAGGGACAGTAAAAACACTATCAAACACAGTATTTCAATTTCTAGCACTCATCTTTTTTCCTAGAAGAGGAAAATTATTTTATAAATATATATGTCCTGAAAGTCCAAAGTCCACACTAAGTGGAAGTGTCTGTGTACTGAGGCATCTGGTCTTAAAATCAACAGAAGTCACTGGATTTTTAGCCACTAGTAGCACACAGAAACCAAAGGTACGTTTACAGTGGAAGCGTTAACACTGTAGACATGCCTACACCATGCTTGTGACTCATGCTTGCTCAGAAGCTCCCCCATCAATGGCACCAGTGCCTGATCTAATTAGTTCTCAGTGGCACAGTTCTGGTAGAGGTAGAACTTCTGAAAGGTACTGCATTTAAAAATGTGGATATAGAAGCATGCCTGGAGATACCAGCATCATGTGTCATTGCACAGCATTGACATGACTGAAAAGATTAATCCAAGGTCATGGGGGAAATAAGTGACAAAGCAAGAGTGGCAGACACAGTTTTCCTAAATTCTCATCCTGTGTCTATCCTACCTATTCCTCTGTCCCTCGAAGGAGTTCAAGAGTTTAACCAGACAGGTTAATGTGGGGTTACACGCATGCAGATTTGCTCCATTGAAGGGATTCTTGACTTAAAAAGAAGGAGGTAACACTGAGAAGATCATATCCCACAGTCACAGTGTTATCTAGGTTAAAGGAAAAGAGCTTTTAGAGAAGCACGTTTGCCTTCTAGGTCACCCACAGTGTACCAGCAGGGAGGAGAGGATGGAAAGAACAGGAGAAAAGACTGAAGTTAAAAAAGAGTAAATTGTGCTCTATTAAAACAGCATTACCAAAAATATCATGAAGGGGTATTGACATCCCAGGCAATCCAGGTCAGTCAACCTAATTCTTGTAGTTGATGAGGAGAATTTGATGAAATTTTATACTGAAGGAGTCTCTTACATGACTTAACAGATGCAGTTGTGTAGACTCTTATGGCTAAGTACATAGAGACATATGTGTGCATGTATCTTTATACTTATATTGGAAGAACAAGAAAAGACATTTTTAATCGTCTGTTTCAAGCTATTCATCTATACCAGGTGCTAGCAAATTGAGGGAAAGATAGAAAAAGAATAGGAAAAGGAACTTGTCTCTGCTGCAACTCCCAAGCCTTAATTATAATACACAGATAAATAAGGAGGCAGGCAGACAGGTAGGCAGAAGGGCACAGATAAAAGGGCATGTATGTTCAAAGGAAACATAATTACCTGCTATTCCCTTGCTCTATGGAAAAAAGTTCAGATTTTCAATACTGACAGAAGCTAAAAATTGATCCACAGAAAAATGTTCACTTCACTAGAGGCTGCAAAAGAGCCTCAGCAACAGACGCAGAGGAAAGTTGTTCTGAATTCCTTCAGGCAGGTTGGAAGGCAGGTCTGACTTGAATAACACAAGAGGCCTTTGAGGCATACAGATGCCCTCCTTTCTGAAAAGTTTTTCTTGGAAAGCAAACCTCCTCCTCTCAGCTCATGCTTGGCAGAAAGGATTGCAGTCCAGGCTTGCTGTGCAAATTATTTCATTCCAGTATCAGTGGAGACAGCTCAACAAAAGTTAATAGCCTCTTTCCTTCTTACAGCTTTTTATATCAAACACAAGTAATCATCCAATCTGTCCCTTCCCTCTTTCAGTTCATCTTAGTCTCTTTCCTGTCCATTCTAGCTAAATTTTCTTCTCCTCTGCCTTCAGACAAATCAGCCTGGGAAAATGAAATATTTATTCCTTTCCAAGCTCTGCCCCCTTGTAACACAAAGGTTTCAGATGCATCTGGAGGTGAATGGATTACAGACTTTCATCTCTACAGTGTAACATTAGTATTAATCCCTCTACCCGTCTCCCCCAAATCTCTATATGGGGCAAGGAATAATTCTTCCTCCATGTTTCAACAGCAACCAGCAAGATGAAATCATGAGAGAGCCTTTGGTCATACGCACACTTAGCACGCATACTAATATGATTTTGAAAACTCCATTGGCTGGACTGAAGGATCTCAGATCCTCCAGTCGGAGGGAGCATGCAGCCGGCAGGGTTCTGGTGGCCCTGCATATGCTCCTGCCGATCCTCCTCTGCTCCAACTCAGCATCAGACTTCTCCTACTAGTTTTCTATGAACAAGGACAGCTTCTATAAGGCACTATTAAAGGTTCTTCTCTATCATCATCTTCAGTCATGTCCATATTTTCTTTAGAGCAATAATTAAAACAACATATTCACCAGCTGGGTTATTTTTTTCCCTAGATTTAATCAGTTCAGGCTCTGATTTACATATTAAAAGCACTAATTAGCCCCTCAGAGTGTCTGAGCACGGATAGTGCAATAACTGGTCATGTAGTCACTAGAGAACACTCCCTAGTGCTTTTGGTAAGATCTCGTGTATACAGCCTCAGTCTCTGGATGGCAGGAATGGCCATGTGTAGAGGGTTGTCTGCTTTGTTTCATAGCATTGAGGGACTGTAGAGATGGATTGCTTCACTCTTGCATTTTTTCTTTGATGTGCTGTGTTTGATCTGTTTGCTTGTCTGTCAGATTTTCCCCCTCCCCCATTCCCCATTGCATCACATGCAAGAGCCTGCAAGAGGATGGACTGCATTTGGCCAGTGCTGGTGCTGCAAATTCTAGTCCAATCAAAGTCACAGTGGCCTTTTCTCTGAGCTTTGATGGAGAATTCAAGTAAACAAGAACTGTGCACTCAAAAAGAAAAAAAACTCAATAACCCTCTGAGCCGTTCTTCTGGCTAAGGATATTCGAAGAAATTGTTTCATTTTCTTTGCATGTTTCGAAGTCACCTACAAAACGGCTCATTGGTCAGGAAGCAATGTTGTGTAGCCCCAGGTGAGAAGCCTGAGTCTGAATCCCAATTGAGATTGTTTCCAAAGTTGCCGGAAGCTGCAAAGCCTCCAGGGTGGGAAGAAGGGCTCTCTGAACCCAACTAACAGGGTTTTGATACTCAGTTTCTTCCTGAAAATGTGTAAAAGCAAGACAAAAACCCCTTCCTCATCAATCACTGTGAATACTCCCTAATTCTAGAAGATGGAGAAGGTCCCATTACTCTAGAAAATGTACAGTGCTTTTTACCTCACATGCAATGCTGCCATATGACCATGATGTTATGATGTTTTTTCCGTGGGCAACAGGAGCTGGTGTCACCACATGGCATTAAGCTGCATTGCCTCATGGCACCAGGCTCTGTTCACTAGCTGGCTAAGGAAAACTAGCCTTAATGTTGTGATTAGCCCCTGAAATGGTTAAGTCTATGACTGGGACTCCTGGACACTAGAGTAATGCAAGTACTCAGCACAGCAGTATTACAAGCCTGGGAAAGGTAGCATTTAGTAGATAAAAACAAGCCTGAGTAGAAGAGAGAAGGAAAAAGTAGTATTTCTTTAAGTTGCTGTCCCAAGTGAAACTTAGCATTGTGGTTTGAAGAATGATTTTTGGTGCAGTTGTTTTTCTTTGCCTGAAGGACCCCTGAAGCCTATGAGGAGTTGCAATACCAGAGGAAAGAGGCAGATGGCATCTACATAAGCACCAGAGGGTTTGACCAATAACAAAGGGGAAATTGTCTTGGCTGTGCCCCCATCATTGCTAGCTATATTCTTCATAACAACACTATACTTTTCCAAGAGTCCCATTTCAGAATGGGTCTCTTATTGAATTCCAGTGTTACGAGGAGCCAAAGCTGCAAGAGAGCCCAAGAGACTGTAAAACTACAGCTTCTAACTGTTGATTTCTCTTCCAGTTAAAGAAACCATATAGTAGAATGGAGGACTGGTGACAAAACTCTGTAAACCACCCTCTGCTTCCAACAGAGGCCAATACCTCTGACATATTTAAAGACTCTGTGCAAAGGAAATAAGTCAACAGAATATATTTGATTTAAGCTATAGACTCCCTCAGGATATCAGAACAGACCCTCTGTCTGCTGAGGGAGCTGTTTGACTAATGCCAGCTCTTGTGAGATGCTCTCCAACCTTTAAATGTGTCAGGAATGCTCAGAAGACATACTATTCTGATTAGTAGCTTTGAAATCACAACTGAAGCTTGACATAAACACCATCATCCACAGCATGTGTCTCTGATTTCAACTGAAAGTCTCAGTCACAGCTGGCCACATGCCACAAAGGGGAAGGGAATGATTTCCTAGGAACTCCTCCTTCAAGACATGGCACATCTTGTCTTGAATAGATGACAGCTGATGAAGGTTTTCCAAGAAAAACCTGCAGGTTTACTGTCAAATCTTTGTAGAACAGTATCACAGAGACCTCCAGAGCAGAGAAGACCTTCAGTCCTCAAATAAAGAGCATGATTTCTTATACAAATTTCCTTTTAGAGAGTATGTTTCACAAGTTGTTTGTCAATGCCTGTGATAATCCAGGCAGCTAATTTACCCCAAGCTTCCCAATAACTGAAGCCATATGTTTTGCTTTGATACAGATTCTATCAAAATAAAAGATTTGGCAGGAAACATAACTGTAGCCAGTATTTACTGTTCATTAGAGAACAGCAAAAAGTTAGAGGTTTTAGTATGTGTATTCACTTTGGGATGATCTGCTAGAGAAGTAAGTACTGGTGGGCTCCATATAGCTCATGTTATTATTCCTGGCACAAAACCTCCAGGACATAAAACACCTTCGTGCTTCCCTGATGCACGTGCCTTAGAAGCACATGTTCTCATACTTCCTCCTTCCCCTCTTCCTCTTGTGCCTTTATCACCTTTAGCTCTCAAATAAGACATCTTTTTCATTCCTATCCCACTCAAATAACTTCTCCACTTCTTTCCTGTTCTGTAAACCCTTCTGCTGTCACTACCAAGGTCTTCTGTTCTTCTCTCAGATTTCAAGATAGACTATATAGACTTCCTCTTATTCCTGTATTTCAAACCTCTGCAATCTCAGTGCCATTTGCAGTATCCAGTCACCTTAGTAAGACTCAGTGGTTTATGCCCAGCTTTTTTTTTTTGCAGTCATCATAAAAGCTGAATTTTAGGAGATGATAGACTAACAGCTCAACAGAAAATCATGTTCTATTCCTCAATGTCAATGCATCACAGCAAGCTCTCCTTGCATGCTGGGGTGCCAAATCATCATCCTCAGAGTACTGTTACCTGTAAGCACATTAGGAATGCGCAACTTTGAGAGGGGTAGAGGATGGAGGTTCATTAAAAGCTTCTGTGATGCCCAGAACAGAAGTAACAATCATCAAGCTTTGTTTTGTAGCCATCCCTTCAGTCTCCCTATAATGGCAATGCAAAATTCAGTTGCCACCAGTAAAGCCACAAAAATTCTTGCCTTAAAGCCACATAATAATGCAAATTCTCAGCTGACTCATGAACTGCATCAATCACACTCACTGCAAAGTGTACATCAGCCACTACTGTCTTGGTGGACCTGGCCTGACTGTGAAGTTTGTGATCAGATAAGATCAGCTGAGCAGCCTGTGATGTCATCTGTGCTGGGAATATTCATCCCAACAAATCATCCCTGTGGTATCACACCTTTCTCTAGATCTCTATAAATATTTCTCCCTGAAATTTTCTATTTGCTATATGGATGCAAGTCCATGTGCATCCACAGCTGGGGTAACTAAGACCTTAACTCCCATCACCTGTTTGCATTCTCATCCTGAAGAATGCAAGGCTTTCCTTCAAATGCCTCCTACACTGTTGCACACAACATAGGTGTAATTATCTTAAAATACAACTCAGGCTTAACCATTACCACTGCTAATTGGTGGTTAAGACAAAGCCTTGTTCTGTTGACCAAGGCATCCTTTTCTCCATGCTTTGCAGGCTCGTTTCTGCAGTCTGGATTGTGCTCATCAGTGGGCTAGCATAGCAGCTCATATCAAGCAGGCCAAAGTCCACAGTGCCACGTTTTGGTAACAGAAAGGTATTGCTGAAAATAATTGGTCCTGGCAGTACTCAATTGGTTTCCAAAACCAGTCCATTAGTTCCAAGGCTCACTGAGTGTTTGGTTGCTCTGTAAACCAGCCACATGCCCAGCTATTGTGCCCAATTAATCTGGAATGAGTTTGATTTAACAAAGTATATTTACAACAAGCTGCTTCTGATAAAAAAAAATTGGGTTTTTTGTCCCAATTACACCTTTTTTCCTTTTTTCCCTTTTTCCCCTTTCTTTCATCAGCTGTGTGGCTGCCAGTGCCCACAGGTATTCCTTAGCGATGTGGCAGGAGACAACAGAACAACTGGCTTCTTGACAAGGGAGAGGTGGCCTGCCAACTGCTACCCATTGACTGGAGTGTGTTCTTGGCTCTGGGAGGCAAGCACTGCTGCAGTATGCTCTCCCTGGAGAAATCCCTCCTCAGGAATCATGACTACTGGTGAAACGTTCCCAGATCTCACTGCACTTCTGAAGCATGGAAGTTGAATATCAGGGGAACCAGTTAAAAATATGCATTTAAATTGCGGAAAGTAATAATGATGTGCTTCCTCCCAACACTATTTTTGCCATTTTTTGAGTTGTTTTTCTCTGCATTAAACCCTCATCACCAGTAACCACACAGACAAGGGAAAGCCATGCTTCAGATGAATGTTGTCTTCTGTCTGGGTTTAAGACATACTCTCTTTGGAGGACTAAAGATTCCTCATTCAAACAAATTTGCAGACATGCAGAAATGTAACCATTTTACTGTTGCTTTGCTGGACATGGACACTTCCTTCCCATGAGTTCAGTCTTTAAAACCTATAAACCAGTTCTGTTAACATTACAAATTAACACAAACCCATGATGTGCAGCAAGACGCATAATCTCTAACTTGGAAAGCAGAATTTATATTATTAGAGCTGTCTGATTTAGTCTAGTGACCACAGTCACGAGACTGCATATGACAGCCTGATGTAACTCCAGGCTCACTTCACTAAAAGCAGACAAATCAGGCTAGTTACTAACCTAACCCTTTCTCTGAAAGCAGCTTATGGTTACAATGATCCCTAATAGCCTCCAATATTGGAAAAAAACAGAATTTACCTACACAGATGGGGTTGGAGAGCACCTGAACACAAATACTGGGAAGCATTTCTGCATCCCAAGTATGCTATGTTTCAGCAGCAGGGATGCTCAGGTTTTGCTGATAGCCTCTACGACCTTGAGAATAAAATAGAAGAAACTAGATTTAGTTCCTCACTCAGGGGGACCCTATATATTCAGTCTCTATTTTTCCCGAGCTTACTTCACTTTGCACTGTTAGATACAAGAGTGGGTCAGAAAATGTAAAAATATTACATTAACAAGAGCCTAAAAGAATTAAATGGCTTAATGTGTTACACCTCATGGGATATCAGCAACTTTTAATCAGTATGTGAAGTATGTCTTGGCACTAGCTAAGTAGTTTGGGAGGACAGAAGGTGGATTTAAATACAACTGTCCAAGTTCAGCCAGCCCAGCTTCAACTTCTGAGCTGTGTTACCAACCCTTTCCCATTCAGTGCTCAAATAATTTCACTAGATTGTCTTCTTCCAAATCCTACTTTGCTGACACTGAACAGCCCCCCGTTTTCCTTCCTGCAGACAAAGTCTGGAGCAGAGACTTTGTTTCCATCTTTTGGCTTATACCATACTCAAAGGAGACAGAGCACATACAACCTCTGGGCACCAAAGTCCCCATCTCTCTGCAGCATGGGACTGGAGCAGGCTGAGTCTGGCTTTTGCATGATTTCAAGACCGAATTTTCCTTGCGAGGGAGGGGGATGACAGTGCTGGCACAGTTATCCTCTTGGAGCATTTTACACTTTTGCAGAGCCCTCCCCAAGCTGTGCGCGATCCAGCCCTCCAGGACAGCTCACATTTCTGACCAGATTGTGCACAAGGTTCCAGCAGCCGCCTGCAAAGTAACTCCAGCAATTAAGTGTTGGTAGGGTTTTTTTTTTCACTATTTTTTTTAATCCAAAGGATATGGCCCACTGTGCCGGGTATTGCAGCCACCCTCCCTGTCAGGCCGTTTCACAGTAGTATTGTGGCGCCATGGAGAGGAGCTAATTGGATTTGTTGTCACCTCCCGAAGCTGCCAGGAGCTCACGTCTGCTCTGGTTACAGATGAAGACATCACAGTGACAGGCTTAGAGATGGCTCAGCTGGCATCCTAGGGCCACTAATAGAGCCATGTTGATTTAATGTCCGAGTGGAGAGGTGCAGACAAGCTGTTCAAGTTTTCTATTCCAAACAAAGCAGAGATCTGTTATCAGTTGTCTGTGGATCAGTAAATAAACTTCCATGTGGCTCTCACAGCACCTAACCATCTCTACAGAAGAATGACAAAGTATTTTAACATTGAGATGGTACTTTTAAATGAGAGCACTGTCTCTATGGTTTATATTGCCCTCAGGGAAATCAGCTAATTCCTTCATACATAAATTTTACTTAACTATGTAATTATGGATGAATCCTATTAGTCTTTAAATTGCTCACTAGTTAAAAGGTGTGTGTGTGTGTTTTCTATGTCTCTTTTTTGTGGAATGTACAGATCATCTGCATTTATGAAGATTAAAAGCCTATTTGGTGATTTTTTTTGTTTGTTTGTGTTTTCTGCTTCTCTTTTAAGTGAAAGCATAGTATTTATTTGAAGACTAGAGCATGGGGGTTTTGCCTTTTCTGTATAGTACTATCCACTCAGAGCACGAAACTGGGCTCAGGAAGTGTTCCCTTTATCCTTAGTGCTCTCAACATCTCTGTCAGCACTCACCCTGACCCCTGGTTGTTCTCATGTGGCATCGCTCACCTCTCCCTTGTGCTCCATTTTAAATGATCACTCATACCAGCGTGATGGGAGTGTGAGAGACAGCTCAGACAGGGCAGTGTCCTTTCATACCCATTTTCACAGCTCTGAGTCACATTTTCAAGGTCTTGGCACCCAATGCCACACTAGACTTTCTTTCAGCAGCATTCAGGTCCCACTTACACACTTCAGGCTTAGGTTTCTGAGAGCAGTGGGAGTCCTGCTTTTCCCACAGCCATGTTTTCAACCAGAGTTTTAAAGGAGCTCAGCACCTCCCATCTTAGTACCAAAATGAGATCTTCCCCTTGATGACTCAGTCAAGTGGATCACTTTGAATAATCCAATCATGCCTAAATCTACAGGCATTTACGAAACAGGTCTGCGGCTGTTAATATCTTTGGTACTTCCACTGGCTCTTTTCTCTAGGAAACCCGAAAATTCTGTCACATCCTGAACCTCTGAAAGGCATGAGCACAGTCTGGACAGCTTCCACAATGCCACCAAGGAAGTACACTGGGGCTCTGCCAGCTGCCACCACCATCATCTCCAGCCAAGGAAAGCAGAGACTCACCAATTTGTCTGATACCTTTGGATAACAGGATAAGTCAGGCCGACAGGGACCTCAGGAGGGCTCTAGCTCAATCCTGTGCTCAAAGCAAGGTCAACCTTGAGCCCAGCCCAAGTTGTTCAGACCCAGGTTGGGTCTTGAAAACTTCCAGGGTAGTGCTGTGTCTGTCACCAGCACTGAGGAGAGCCCAGTGAGAGAGCAGCCTGATCCCTGAAGAGCTCAGGTAGTCCCAGGGATATGGCCTGCTTTGCACTAACTGCAGGATGGAGCTGCCCCTCCTTGCCCCCCAGGTTAGGGGTTGTTCCCTTTTCTGTCATTTTGCATGTTTGGTGACTTGGGAAGCCCTATGGAGAAAAGCAAAGGGAGGGAAGGTGGCACCTACGGAGGAAAGATGCTTCTGATACCAAAATGGCCTTTCTTCAGTCTGTCACTTATTGACACGGGTACCCAAGATCTCATGGCACCTGAACAGGCTGAGAGCATTATTTAGGAATCTGGCCAAAGGGCAACAATTTCCTCTCTGCTCTATCAATACTCAGTGTAAGCCAGAAGCAAAGCTGAAGACCATCATTACACAACTAACGTGCAGCAAACCTGTGAACAGAAACAAATCAGGAGAGAAACAAGGACCCCTCCATTAATACCTGACTATAGCATTTCTCACCCATAGACTGCAGGATTTTGTAAGTGACACTGTTGTTATCTCCGTTTTCCAGGCAGAATAGAAAATGTGTTGTGACTTGATGGGACAAATGCTTCACCAGCCCAGCAGCAAAGTCAGGAGTCTGTGTATTGGAGCACCAGCCTTGTGCCCAAACCACTGAAACCCACTTCCTCCTCCTCAAAGAGTTATTTCCTGGCTGTCCTTACCTGAGGTGTGGTCAAGGCCTGTGTGCTCCACACAGCACCTCAAAAAAGCCTCAAAAAAGCAAACTAAACCAGAAAAAGACAGACTGACCATGCCCTCTAAGGGCTCTGCTGGGCCTCTGCTGGACCTGGGGCAGCTGACCTTAAAGGGAAGCACAACTGACAGTCCTTTGTCACTCATCACTTTCAACAGCAGTTGTTCCCAGCCATGTGTGGCCCTCCAGAGGGGCATCAAGATGTGCCTCAACCAGCAAAGCTCTGTGTTGACCTTGACGGGCCCCACTGCCCAGTAGCATGGCCAGGGGTGTAGCACCTGCAATGCTCCACACGCCCAAGGAGGACATCCCAGTCCCTGCCCAGGAGCGGCGAACGCAAGCCCACAGGCAAGGGTGGGAGTAGGAGTGTCCACATACCCCCAGTGAGGATGAAAATAAAGCTGTTCAATTTGGAGCTGCTTGGATCACGCTCCACAGAGCCCAGGAAATTACAGAGCCAGCATGTGGTGGAGGGACTGGGCTCTGAGAAGTAAACACTAGGAAGCTAAATGGTCACCAGAGGAGAGCAAGCACCTCCTGGAAGTGAGGATTTGCCTCTTTGTGGAGACAGCTGGGCAATTTCATCTCTGATAGACATGCGGAGATAATGGAGGGAGAGGCCCACTTGGAAGGCCATTTACAGCTGACCTTACAACATGGTTGTCCCCTGCATTTTGTCCTCTGGGGTGTGGATAGAGCCTCCACATAGTACAGGGAACTGAAAGAAAAGCCTTTGACAAACTGCCTGTGAGCCCAAAACAGAAGCCTTTGTGAGAACGGTCCAAGGACACAAGCCACAGTGGATTTTGGTGGCTGCCAAATCAGCTATTGTCCTTTTCTCAGGAATGCAGATTGGGATTTTCTTAGGTAATGCACAACGGGACACTAAACAGTTGAGTGATGAGGACAGGACAAGACTGGACTGAATCCTCCTCACCCACTGGTGAGCCAGTGAAAAGTCACCCTCTTCTCCAAGCTGCCCTCTCACACCTCCAAGCTGCCTTTTTCTAGTGGCGTTACAGGCTTTCTTTTTTTTTCCTTGCCAGGCAGTAGATTTTGTTCCATAACCCATCTCCATTTTTCGAGCACAGCAGGAACTGTACTTGGAGCGATGGTCCAAAGAAGGGACACCACTTCTCAACCCTTTTTTCCTACACAGTTTTATAAAGGTAATCCAGTTACCACTATCAGTAATCTCCACTGACAGTTACAGTCTGGAGAACTTGGACAGATTTCCCCTCTCTTCTCTCTAGGCTCCAGTTCTAGCTCCTTTTGATAATCTTCCCCAAAGCTGTTAGAACAAATGATTCCAGCTTCGTCTACATTCTCTCATATTAAATGAGCTAATTTGTGTGTTGTGGAGTCACTGAATAGATTAAACAAAGCCACCCAGCTGGATATACTGTGCAGTATTCCAGGTTTCTCAGGCCAACCATTTCTGGAAAATAATTCACAAGGATTTGGACTGAGACCTGGATTAACTGAATTAAGATAATTCTTCCTCCCAAGAGCCGGCTGGGATGTTTCCTTTTCTCTCCAAGTATAGGAAAAGAGAGTGTTAGAAAATGTAAGAAAACTGACTTTAGATATATTACACAGAGGGAAGGGCAACAGACAGAGAATAGCTTCTACTTGCTCCTCTCTACACCTTCTTTGGACATAGCTCTAAGAGAACAGTTAACAGCATTAACCTCAGCTAAGTGGGTAGTACACTCAACAATGCTCAGTGGATAGCAGACTTCAAATTCCCACATTTCTAACAGCCATGAGCAGTGCAAAGAAAAGCACAATCAATCTCAAGAGATGAGGTCTCCTGTTACACTAGTGTACTTGATGCAACAACCTTTTCCAGGGCTTCAGTATACTAATTCCCTTGGCTCTGTTCAACCAATCTCTGCCTTGGCAAAATGACCAGCACAGTCCCTCACTGCAGCACACTTTGTTTTCCTTTTGCTTGTTTCCACAAAGCCCCACATATATTAACAGGAGGAGTTAATATCTAGATAGTAGCTGTTTGTACGTGTGTTTTGGCACAGACTGTCCTGGCTGTGTCTGGAATTTGGTTTAATGTCAGGTAACCAGAAGCCAACATCATCAGTGAGAAGGCAGAAGACAGAACATGAGGAATAGTATCTGAACAAAAATAATTGTCTAGTCTCATTCCTTGAGCTACAGGATAGCACTTACAAATAATGCTAAAGAAGTTGAACTCAGCTCATTTTTCAGCTTCCAACCTTTCATTCTGCTAATAAAGTAGTGAAACAAAAGACCATGTGTCCTTTTTTCTCGGCTACACTGACTATTTCATGCTTTTCTAGAGGAATTTGTTTTAAAGTAGTTCAGTTGGATTTTATTTCCAGTGGTGGCTCTGCTACATAATGCTGCACTCCTGGCTCCCTCTCTCACCTAGGGCTTTATTTCTTAGGGCTGCCGAGCCTACATTCCTCTTTCTTATTACCACAAAGGACAGGCATCCTTCACCAAGACTGGAACAAATCTAAAAAAGAAGCCACTTCTTTTTTCACACAGGTAATTCAAACAAGTAGATTAAGATTTAATGACAGCAATAGACAAGTGTATTTTATGTATTTACTCCTGCAAGTTTACTCTAGAGCCAGAAGCAATAAAGAAGCTGATTCTCATCAAGAAAAGAGTGCACTTACACTTCTCCAAAATGCTTTTTTCTCAGGTTTAGCAATTAATCCTGTATTCACTTGCATAAGGTCCCAGTTGAGCCTGTAGCCACTGGCTCATCAGTAGCAAGCTGCCTCTCCAGACGAGTCATACCTATCTGCAAATAGACATAGAAGTAGTAACCAAAAGCCTGCTCTTGGTTACAGCATTAACAGTGTGCAAGAAGCAGGCTAGGGCAGCTGATCCAAATACATCACTAAGCATAAGTCTTGAATCCTGAAGTCTTGAATGACAACAACCAGTGATACAAGAATCATAGAAAATAAATAGAAGAGTCCAAAAGCAGTGGCAGAGTGCAACATTGCATTACCTGCCTCATTACATTGTCCAAGTGTAGATTGGTAGGTTTTTTTACAAGAACAGATGACATAAAAATTGTACCTTTAGTCAAGGATCCCAAACCATGGTCAGTAAACTGATGTTTAATTTTAAATGATTCACCCATCACTGAATTGAGGTTGCTAATGCCATTGAAAATCTGCAACCTGCAAATAAAGCAAATGAATATGATATATACTCATTTGACAGAAGACAAGGAATGCCTTTGCCTGGAGAAGAGAAGGCTGCATGGAGACCTCATAGCAGCCTTCCAGTATCTGAAGGGGGGCTATAGGGATGCTGGGGAGGGACTCTTCATTGGGGACTGTAGTGACAGGACAAGGGGTAACGGGTTAAAACTTAAACAGGAGAAGTTTAGATTGGATATAAGGAGGAAATTCTTTCCTGTTAGGGTGGTGAGGCACTGGAATGGGTTGCCCAGGGAGGTTGTGAATGTGCCATCCCTGGCGGTGTTCAAGGTCAGGTTGGACAGAGCCTTGGGTGATATAGTTTAGTGTGAGGTGTCCCTGCCCATGGCAAGGGTGTTGGAACTTGATCTTAAGGTTCTTTCCAACCCTAACTATTCTATGATTCTATGAATACTACATGCAGTTAGGGAAGCAGGAGAAATTGGTGGCTAGTAGGAGGACACAGCAAATGCTTCCATTCTTACAAGAATACCAGAAGATGTCAGTGTTGAAGACACTGGCTATACCTCTGCCAGAAGCCAGCCAGAGTCCCTTCTGTGATGGGGGAGAATTAGCAGCTTATGGGTGGGAAGAATGCCCTGGTTAAGCACCAAAACCAGCACATATTTTCCCTGGGGTCCTCCTGCCTGGCTACAGGGATGTGACCAGGTCACAACCTGAACCAGTGCACAGCACCAACCAATTCCAGCTCAGATTTCCTGTACTGCAAATGCTTTGGCCTGCCATTCTTGATTATACTCTTTATAGCATGGAGGAAATATGCATACATTCTTCATATTTGGAAGTATTAATTCTATAATGAGTCATCAAATAGCTTATGGGCAAAATGAAAATGTTCAAAGTCAGCTAACAAGAAAGTGTAAAAAAAAAAAATACCCCAACCCTATGCTATTCTTACTGTTACTTATTTTTAGAGACCACTTTTGAGCAAAGTTCATTCATGACATTTCATAGTCAAGACCTCTATGCCAGCATTCACACTCTCGCCTCCAAATCAAAAGGTCCTAGAGTCATCTTGCATCAGGTATCAGCTCACACCCAGCACTGACGCTGCAAAGAAAGAGAAGTGCTGTACTAACCTTCACAGGGACAATCTGAGGACATACTAAACTTCCTCCAAGCATCAGAAATACTGACTTTCTGTCTGCAGAAAGGGACACTTAACTCCAAGTCCTGGTGTTCTGAGAGCACAACGTACAGCATCTCCAACTAAATTGATTTTTTTTCTTTCCTCATTGCTTAGTGGAAAAGAACAAAGCTGGGAAAGGCAAAGGTAAGCCTGGTTTTCCCTCCCTGTTGACCAGGTGCTTACACAGGGACCAGTGAGTGAAGCCCAGCTGGTTTCCTTCCCTTGAAGCCCAGCTACTGGTGTGGCTGAGCAGCACCTGAGGCCCTTCACCTCTCAAGCTTTGTGGTAGCCAGCACAGACTTGCCCTAGGCCCTAGTGCATCCCACTCAGCCTGTGCTCTGCTGGGAGTAGCAGGACAGGTACTCACATGCCTCTGGCTGCATACAGATGTGCCTGCACAGACCTCAGCACACCTCAGTTCTCTCGCCACACTGGTGAAACTTGCAGACACTTGAAGGATATTGCAATTAAACTTTTTCCCTGTCAGAAAGGTGAAGTTCAGCTTGCTGCCTCACAACCTGTCCTCCACCCAACTATCCTGCACCCCCAGAACGGGTAGCTAACATCCACTAATGCAAGTGAAGTTGAGTTGATAGGGATGCCCTAAGGAACTGATCGTCAGCCCTGGCCAGTCTGAGATGCTGTTCTTGACATGCAGGCCTTAACTCGAAATACTTTTACCTGATACATGCTCTAAGTCTCCACTCAGACGTGACTATAGCAGTGTTATTTCAGGAATGTCAGTGCCCTGAGCCTTCTGGCAGTTATTTTGCAGACAGTGTTCTCTCAAACTTCTACTAGTATGTGTGTGTGTATATTTGTTTATATATCTAATATGTCCACTTTGTCCCAATGTTAAACAGAGAAACTTTTGAAACACAGTTCTAATGACATGGCTGTATGAGGCACAAAAATCAGACCCTGAATTCATATGCTAACATTTGTAACTACAGACATTTAGAAGCAACAACCTGCCCACCCAGTACCATACTGGATTTTTATCTCAGTAAAGACTCCCAGTAACCTCATTTACCTTGACTTTTCTTTCGCTATGTCTCTCAACCTTCCTTAGAATCCACATGTGACCTTGCATCACGAGTGCTATTCAAATCAGCCCATTTCCCTCTGTGATATTGCAGTGTCTACAGCAATCACTAGAAACATTTAAGTTGTTGCAAAACCAAAAAGAAATCCAATGCAAAAGCTGTCTTGTGCCTTTATTCTTCAGTGGGTTTCCCCTAGCTCAAGAAAGTGAGTTTTCTTTCTGTAGTACATATATTCCTGGCAAAGCTCTGTTTTCTGTGCTTTACTGAACTCCTGAGCACAGATGTCCCATTTGTGTTTCATTAGTACATCATTCTCTCTGAGGCTTTCGACCTCTGCACTAGGCAATAATTACCTGGCGCAGACCCATTCCCTCGCCAGCTGGCCTGGGAACTGCTCTGCTCAGACCAGGGCTCTCTCTGCTGTCAGCCCTTTCCAGTCAACTGGACAGCTCAATCAGCAGAAAATATCAAATATGGTTGTTGTTTAAGCTCCGCCAGCATTATTTCTGCTTGATCTGACAATGCCTCTCCAAAGAAAGATTATGCTTCCCAAGGTCTAGACATGAGGCAGAAGAGTTAAGATATCTGGCAGGGTTTGTTGAGTTTAGTAGCTCCTTTGCAAGCTGTTTGGGCTGATCATGTTCTTCCCTTACTGCAAGCAGTGTTGTAGATACCTCCATCTCAGGCCCAATGACTATTTAGTGATTTGAACAAAGTGGAACAGCTCCAAGGAGAGTGAGAGGGGGTGACTGAGAATGACTGTAGTCCTGAGATGAGGGCATTTGCCTTGGATTTAAATAGGCCGTGTGCCTCAGATTGCTCCAAATTTGTGTCCCCTCCCACATGTGCAAGCAGGGTGTCAGGAATGATTTTGCTTTTACAGATTTCAAGCGCAGTTCAGACTTGGCTTAATGCAGAAATCAAAATCTTGGAGTCACGCCTGAGCAATCTTTGCCTGCTGCACCGGAAACCACACACTGCAGTAAAGGTGCCCCTGTGCCCAAACCAGAGCATCTCGGCTTTCCTGCCATGTTTATAGCACTGCAGCCCTTGGTTTAGGTGTTCTGCTGTCTGTACTGAGGGAACTTGTAGGAGTTTAGGCTGAGGATATTTTTTTTATGTCATCATGTTTTCTGAAACAAGGTAGTGTAGATCAGAGACAGCAATAGATGAAAAGATAGGCTAGGTGAGACAGAGTCCCAGGCAAATCTGCATTCCACAGATATCTTCTCAGCATGTTTTAGAGAATAAGCGACTGAGCAGTATCTAAAGACAGAATATGTACCATGAGTGAAAAGGGGAAAAGATAAACACACACAAAAAAAACCAGTGGTGTTGACAGCTCAAAGAGTACAGTCAGGCATATCTCCAGTTCAGCTGAAGAAATAACAAGGCATGGTACTTCTTAACTTCCATGGCAGCAGCTCTGAAAGAAGAGTTTGTGGATGA